TAATTTGAAATAATGGAATCGACAACAAAAGACAATCTCGAAAATATTTTTTTTTTTAAATTTTAATTTTATTTTACTTTGCATGTCTTTTTTCTCTTCATTTTCATGCATTGTCATCCAATTCTGAACTGTGTGCCAAATTTGAAGTTTGTAGCTAGTCGGGAAGTTAGTTTAAAATCGATTACAAAATTCCACCCGGACAGACATACACGAAGGCAAGTTTATATAAACGTGGTAAAAAACCAGTTATTTGATAAATTGCTTTGATTAAAAATTATCTGATGATGTGATACTAAGATTAGGATATGAAGTAAATTTTTGAAATGGACAACTGAAAAAGCATTTTTTTAATATAATTTTTTTTAACAATTAATTAACAAGTAAATTAAATTTATTATTTTGATAATTGACGCCATTTTTTTTGAAATTTAATTTTGAGCGAAATATTTTATCTTCGTGAATTAAACAATATCTCATATAAAACTTATTATATCCCGAATTACTTTCAATGTGTTCAAAATCTTCAAATTTCATTACAAAAAAAAAATAAATAAATAAAAAAATAGCTCTAATGAAGAAAAATGGCCTCTCATTAAACAAAAATAAATTAAATAAAATTGAACTGTGAAGGGAGTTGGATGAAGACATCAAGTGATGGATAGTGAAAAATCTATTAAAGCTCTTTTTGAAATGGACAAAAAGCATTTTTTAATTTAAAATTATTTTAACAATTAATTAACAAGTAAATTAAGTTTACTATTTTGATAATTAACGCCATTTTTTTTAGAATTTAATTATGAGCGAAATATTTTATCTTCGTGAATTAAACAATATCTAATATATAACTTATTATATCCCGAATTCTTTTCAATGTGTTCAAAATCATAGATCAAAATCTTTAAATTTCATTACAAAAAAATAAATCAAAAAAATTACAAGATCTTAAGAACAATAAGTCCTACGTAAAAAAATAAAAAAACGTGAAAAATAGAAGTTTGAATGTCAATGTTTACTGAGGGACTAAGGGTAAACTAATACACAAGAAGACAGCATTTTACACGCATAACACCTGTTTCGTCTCCAAAAGAAATGGAATAAACTCAGATGTACAGCCAAAGTGAATAATTTGTAATTCAAAAATATTTTCAGAAACGATAATGTTCCATATTGAATCACCATGAAGTGAAGTTATTTCCTTACAGTATAGCCATACTTAATATAGCGTTGGTTTTAAACTTCGTGTTGTTGTTGTTGCTAATTCCCATCTGGTCTGACGGGATCAGACCAGATCAATGAATCCGCTGATATTAAGAAAATCCGAAACCAGAATGGGAGAGGAATAAATGTCGTTCCAGTCCAGCCCAAAACTGTTCAAGATGTGCTCAGGTGGAGCCTGGCTTTGTTGGCATTTAGGGCAAAGAGGAAAGATCTTTTGATTTGCAGAAAATGTGAGACTTTTCAGGTATCACTGTCCGGAGCAAATT